TCAATAAGGCCATCACCCCAGCGGCCAGTAGGCCAACCGGGAAAGGTTCGACCATAAGGCGAACGTGCAGCCGGAAGTGAAGGGCCCCATGGGAGAACCAGAATGGAGTTGCCCACGTCAGTTACTCCATCTCCAAAATGGTATAAATACTGAAACGGACACCTAGTATTTTGGGACGAAGTTGCGCATACAAAAATCATCAGAAAAGCACAACTTACTTTGATGAAATACGAATTCGAATAAGAAATATCCATAACGAATTGAATAATAATATATATGAGGTACAACACTTATAGTTAGTTGTTGTTCTTGTTGTATTGGCTTATAACAAATTTAATTTGTGTTTCCAACAATTCGATTCTTTGCATATATATAAGCCAAGGATTAGTAAGCACAATAGTATAATTGAACAGGTATATGTACAAGGCCAGGTCCTTACGTGGTATATCCAATTGCTATTATTTTGACCTTTTCCATCTTCAAAAACCGACTTTTTTATTTTCCTAAAGAAAGAAACACTCCACACGTAGACGTATGGCATACGAGATATGTAAGAGTTATTCAATTGTCTTTTTTAATCAAGGTAATTATTATTCTGTTTCAATTCAAGAGTTATTCAATTGTCTTTTTTTAATTATATATATTGTATTATGGTTATGGAATTATTTTGATCTGTTCTATTTTCACAAAATTAAACTATATTTTAAGAAATTCAAAATTAAGACGACCAGATATTTTTTGAGTCTTGACCACGCGCAGTGTATATGCGCGTTTGAGAGTCAATGGAATGGAATATTTGATTGGTTAAATTATAATATTTCTACTTCTTTTATTGAAGAAAATCGCTCTGATATAGTTCGGGGTCAACTACAGTGTAGAGGATGGTTGTACTTCTGCGATAGTATAACAACTAGTGAGAATCTCATGCGATGCACAAGGATTTCGTAACATTTTTTTTTTTTTTGTAAAACTTTATTTTAACAATGTATTAGACTGTTGATCTGTTTATATTAATATAAATAACATTTTCACATATATATTTATTTTTTAATACAAAAAATAGAATTTTACATATTTTGTTTTATGATAATATTCAAATATAATTTTATTTACAAATTTATTGTCGTATAATGTAAATATTATTTTTAACATTTGTAGAAGTAATATTCTTTTTTATATAACTAGAACGTACCCCGTGCGATGCACGAGACAAAGATATTAATTGAGTTATTTTCACAGTCTTGTCCATTTAAGTCTAAAAAGTAATAATGTTATTATCTATTTTCTACCTCTTTTAATCAATGTTAAGTCTAAAAAATTATTAAGCCACCCTCTGGCAAATATGTATGAAGTTATGTGTTCGTGTCTCATAAGTCACAAACTTTATGAATAACATTACAAATTATTCATTCAAACTTTTATTCATTGCAAATATATTAAAATAGTTTATATAACAACCATTAAATACCACTTTCAATATATTTATAAATAAAAAGTACATAAAATTTCTGGTGTGTTCAAATTTAAATCATTGGCATTTTGGTCGGTTGAAATTTAAATCATCTACCATGGTACTGTGATGTGTGTTATATATATACAATTTTGTAACATATAATATGTGCTTTATAAAAATAATAATAATGATTTCACAAGATTTTAAACGTAAAATTTAGTTTTTAATCACAATAGAAAAATCATGGTAAGTTGTATTGAAAAGGTGTTATGAGATAAAACAATTAACTAAAATAATTAAATAAAATACTTGATGGAAATAGAATGCATTAATTACCTTTGACTTTTCTTACTACTAATTCTAGTAAATAGAATGTCTTTTTATATAAGTACTAGTATGTACCCCGTGCGATGCACGGGACAAAGATATTAAATGAGTTATTTTCACAGTCTTGTCCGTTTAAGTCTAAAAAGTAATAATGTTATTATCTAGTTTCTACCTCTTTTAATCAACGTTAAGTCTAAAAAATTATTAAGCCGCCCTCTAACAAATAAGTATGGAGTTATGTGTTCGTATTTCATAAGTCACAAACATTATGAATAACATTACAAATTATTCAGTCAAACTTTTATTCATTGCAAATATATTAAAATAGTTTATATAGCATCCATTAAATACCACTTTCAATATATTTATAAATAAAATTTACATAAAATTTCTAGTGTGTTCAAATTTAAATAATTTTTGACGGGCTCAATTTTAAGTCATCCAGACATTTGGTCAAACGCATAGGTGTGTTCAAATTTAAATCATTGGCATTTTGTTCGGTTGAAATTTAAATCATCTACCATGGTACTGTGATGTATATTATATATATATATATATATATATATATACAATTGTTTAACAATAATATGTTCTTTATGAAAATAATAATAATAATTTCACAAGATTTTAAACGTAAAAATTGGTTTTTAATCACAATAGAAAAATCATGGTAAGTTATATTGAAAAAGTGTTATGAGATAAAACAATTAACTAAAATAATTAAATAAAATATTTGATGGAAATAGAATGTATTAATTACCTTTGACATTTCTTACTACTAATTCTAGTAAACATAATGTCTTTTTATATAAGTATAGATTAACCGTTTCTTCTATTCAATGTGACTAGTGCAGTGCCCGTGCGATGCACGGGGTGCACAATTTTAATGTTATTTAGCGAGGATTATTATTATATACATGAATAAAGAAAAATGTACGGGATATATATAGTACGTGCCCGTGCGATTCATGGGATATAGTTATTTGGAGAATATTTGATAAAGAGATTTATAATACGTAGGGAAATTGTATAATAAGATAGTATTCGACAAAGATACAATCATATATTACTAGTACAACGCCCGTGTATTACACGGGTGCTTGCTAATTTTTTCCTTAAAATCTGAAATTATTGAGAAAAAGTAGTTGAAATTTTAAATAACTTTTATACAAATATATATTATTATATATTTAGTATGACCTTTTTTTTATATGTGTGACTTACTTGTGTTATATTATAATAATTTTTTTAACTTACAACATATAACTACATTAAACAAAAATATATTAACTGAGAAATAATTTTATTTTTCTAATAAAATTTAATAAATATTATTTTTTATTATTAAAAAGGTAAATATTATATATTTATTTTATATATATAATATGGATGTTAAATCGAAGATAATGAAAAGATGATTAATTTGATATATTATATATGTAAAACCGATAAGAAATACAAAAGTTATCAACTTTTAAAATACATTTATAATTCAATAGCTAATTGAAGGAAACAAAAGGGATATATTAGTCACTTAGTGTCTCACTATGTAAAATTACAAAGAATTAAAGGGTTATATTAGTACAAGTGATATTAAAATTTCTAAATTAGCTAAATAATATTTATGGAATGTCTGAACCTAGATATTAATTATTAATATATCAATATTATTTGTCCGAACCTAATTACGAAGCATGATTCTTCGCCAAGTAGGATTCCAAAGCACCAGAAGCAGCCACGTAGGCTCAGCGCATTCGAGAATTATATATAGGGCCGATTAAAGACCTCCTTGTACACAATATTAATTATGAGTTTGATTATTGGTCCGCTCGTTATTCTCACAAACTAATATCTCCAACCCCCTTCTATTAGTTACACACGAAACATCAATATATAATAAAGACATTTAATGAAGTGGTAACCTGTATCTTTTCTACAAACGTATTAAAAATTTTCATGTTAAGAATAAATAATTGATTAGGAAAGTGTGTAGAAATTATTAGAAAAGCAAAACAACATGGTTAGAATGAGATTAGTAAAAATACTTCATGGGTTGAATATTTAAATTAAATAATTGAAATAATTGAAAAGTAATATTAAATGATAGGTATTATCTGGAATGTACAAGTTGCATGATTAGTACTCATGGTTGACCAGTTTCTTCATAGTGGCTCTTGAAAGCCAAAAGTTTGTCTATATATATTCACCCCAAACCGTGCAATTTATGAAATTTTCACTGCATTAAATTTTAAAATTGTTAGATATGTAATGCATATAATAAAATTATATGATTATAATTGATTATATTGCAGAAAAAACTGCAGTAAAAAAAAAAAAGAAAAAGAAAAAAAACTTAATATAGATCCATAAGAATGAATGCAAGCATTTGGATATCGTCAGTCTTTATTTGTTTCTCTTGCACACTTTGAATGTCAACAACCAAACCTATAACATCTATAATAAAAAAATACCAATATGTTATAATTTAATTATTCGAAATAAACAAATAAAATTAGAAACAAAATGATATATCTTACAAAATAACATCAATTCATCGATTTTCTTGACATATTGTAGAGTTGCAAAGTCTTTGAATTGAAATCGAAATACAGGAAATTCTTCCTTGCACTTTGTAAACATAGTGCTCCCATTTAGCATGATCTTAAAATCACCGCATGTCGAATGATACTTCCATATATTGTTGTCCACTTGATAATCTTTTATACAAATGACCATGCCCTCCTCAAAATTCCTCTCTCTAAATGCAGCCAAGTTGATTGCCCGTAGCCATGCCGTAATGAGATTACCCTAAACATATACGATAAAGCAATCAATGAAAAAATAATTTGTTTTAATAACATAAAAAATGTATATTACATATACACCAAAATATGTTCGATATTTTGGAAAGAAAAAAAGTAAAAATAATTTGGCTTACAGTTTTATCATGTAGAACCAACTCAAGATAGGATTTGTATGTGCTGCACAGTCTTGAAAAAACATTATTACAATTCAAACATTAAGCATAGGTCTATTAAACCTATTAACTTGTTTGATTCAGCCAAATTCTTGATTCATTGTTATGAATGACACACTAATTGAGGATTTTTTTTTTTCCGCAGGTGGTTGAAAGTGAGGAACACGCTGATTCAATATTTAGAGATTTATAATTTATAATTGCATTATCGCATCATATGTAGAGATAATGTGAAGGAAATCACATCAGATCATTATATGTTGGAAGAAATATGATCAGATTTATATCGTATTCTAATTATAATTGCATTAAAAAAGATTTTCCATACAACAA